ACGGCAGAGAAGAAAACGACAACACGGAAGCATACGGAATATCTTTATCGAGAAGGTGCAAACTGAAAAGGTGCCAGCAACAAACGCCAGAAAAAATCAAACATAACTGTCAAAAGAGGTGCAAATTCAAGGTGGGTACGCTGAAACGCAACGGAAACACAAGAACCTACAAGCTGGGAGGGCAGAGGCAATCCGGAACGGCGGGAGAAAGTGTATGCTAAGCAGGTGACAAACAGCATGCATGGATTGTAAGGGAGTAATAGAGATGGTTGAACGTGGGAAATAATGGAACATCGCTGAGGCAGGAGAGGCCTCAACGAATGGCAAAACTACTCTCGCAGGCAGGATGAAGGATAAATTGATCCACTGAAAGTAAAATTACACGAAATGAAAAAAAGGTCAAGGAATCAGAAAACCACACCCTCTCAACATCGTGTTCATGCTATATATTACTGTGGCAAAATAGCGTCAGCATCTACATCAGCAAGACCTGAGTACGTGGAATTTCGGACTGTCTTTTCATTCGATAATTATCTTTGACAAAAAGAAGGAAGGCTGGAGGGACCATTTCCAACCTAGGTGCCAGTATCAGCTAGCCACACGTCAATCGCGGGCAAGAAAACTCTCATCTTTAGCCAGGGATCAGATATTCGTCCAGCCTAACAACCTGGCAGTTAAGTCATAGAAATATCCTTATGCTGCCCTGCAACCAAACTAAGTCGGTAGATGCGAATTCTCTGCAAGGTTAGAATTCTACCGTCAAGAAACAAGCACGTCTACTGTATGCCCCAGGGAGTGGGCAAAACATCGACGACTTGCATAGCATCTAAAACACTAGCCTCTGCCTCACCTTCCTGGCTGCGATTGCGAAACAAGGTCAGAAGGATTGGAGGCGGGTTCGGACGCGGTGGCAGACATAGCTAAATAGTCCGTCCACGCGTGAAACCGACAATATCGGGTCCTCAAGTGCGAGGCTTTTAAAAAGACGATCCGGAGCTCACAGTGGTCTAAAGTTATCGTGTCCTAGATTTCCTCGTAGGCACTAACTCCGGCTCCAAAATAGGCCTCGGAATATAGGAACTTGACGATAGAAAAAAGACAGGAAGAAACTACCCCATTCTTAGGAACTTCTTCTGATAGAGAATACATCACGAACTGATGGTCCTATACTGCCCGGTTGTATGGTGAACATGTGATAGCTTCGAATGTAAAATATCTGACTAGACAGGTGTCTGTGAATTTTTCTTGGGATTTAAGAATCCAGAGGTGCTCTTTTTATCCCAAAAGGCAGCAGCTGGGCTCACCGCCCTGATGGTCCAACATTAGCACAAAAGGAGGCTCAGCCTACCACTAATGCATTGAACTCACATATTTGCATATAGATATATGCCTGTCGTGCATACTGATACCCAACAAATAAATTGGGAGCCAAGAGAACAAAATATTTGAGACTGGGTGGAGCGGCAGAGT